TCGACTCTGAGTTCAAAATCATCTGAGGCAGAGGTACACATTTTAGATGTACACCAGGTGGGGAGACAGAAAAAAACAAAAAACGGCGCGCCGAACAAGTCGTCGAGTTTATCACCCTGCCGATACCATCATGAACGTCGCCCGCGACGGCACGGGCGCGGGGACATTGAGGTCCGTAACTATGAATCCTAGAGGCACTCGCGCGCGGGGGGACACGGCAGCCGAGCGCGAGCTGCCCCGCGGGAGGCAGGCAGGCGCGCCCGGCGGACCGCAGCGGCCAGACGGGTCCCCCGTCGGTCACGCCGTGGTCATCACTGTCGCGGGCTGAGAAAGGACGAGGACGAGGAGGGCGAGGGGAACGAGGAGGGGGGAGTCACCCAGGAGTCATAACGTATCACTAACGCCCGAGGACCCCAAATAACACTACATAACCAAACGATGACCTCGCCAACAATCGGAACGACTACAGTGTTTGCCGTGTGTGTGTGGGTCCGTATCCTATTTCGCAGCCGGCCAGGTGACGATAGCACCTCAGGAGAGCTGCCGACGACTTTATTGGCCACGCTGCTAATACAAGGCGACGAGGATAGGAGGAGGGATATGGCGACGTGTCGTGTGGGGACCAAGATATGGCGGAAGATAGGACAGGAAAGGGGGAGGGGGCGGACCCCCACGCTTCTTTACTGCTGACAAAATGATATTGGATTCCTATCTACATATGTTCATCGCCTTGACCGCCCCCACCTCCCTCTTCCCCCTTCTGCTGCCGGTGACAATGGGGTGGTGGGGGCGGGACTCTGCGGTGAGGTGGGCCGTACATCTCCCCACTAGATGACCATCACGCACCACACTGCCGACCAAACCGAACTGACCCTTGCTGCTGGTGCCGCCTGCCTGCGAGTGTGCTCTTGCAGCTCCTCTCGCACCGAACTGTTAAAACTAAACAGTAGTAAAGTCACTAGCGTTTACAAATATTGACTCGTACGACTACCCATAGCTTTTCAGAACTACTTTTTAAAGTTTGCCATTTTTATCACCACATGATAACAGATACAAGATTTTCAACAAACACAAACACCCAGGAAACGATAGCAAGAATCGAATATCTTCCCAATTTTATCCCCAACCCTGGAATTACTAAACGTGCAGAATCATCATGCGTTGAAATAACCGTGCCGGCTAGACTGGCACTTAAAAATCACTTTTTAGATTTTTAAAGGTCCTAGGGTCAGACTTTGTTTCTTTCGATGAGAATTTTTTTTTATTTTTTTTAGAGACCGATCGGACACGTTTTAGTGGTGCCGCAACGGCCCCAAAGTTAATTTATTTTAAATAACGACACTAAGTCACATAAACGTTAATAACCACCCTCCCCGATATCCGATCGACGTCCGATTTTGACCAAAAGTAGAGTATTATATAGGGCAACTTTCGTGCAAAGCCACCCCGCTGTAGCTCAAATACTTTCGGAGTTATGGCCGTTGAAAGATTTAGGTCATTTTTAGTAACTTTGGGGAAATGACCAAATTTCACTAAAAAGGACTTTGACCGTCTGTTTTTGCTCTTAAAAATCAGCCACTGGTTCCCTGGGGGTTAATTTATGTTCTGAATCCGAATCCGTCAAGAGATTTGACGGATTACATCGTCTTGTTGCCATTCTTAAACTTTCATTTTATTAGGGGCTTATGGAGGACTGCTTTTCCAGAATGGCAACAAGACGATGTAATCCGTCAAATCTCTCGACGGA